CCAGAGTTGAGAGGGTCAAGAGCACCACATTTCTCTGTGCATCTCCAACAACCTCACCTGGTCCCTCAACACCAACTCCTCTTGCTGAGACTGAAAAGAGCCAGCCAACCACCATCCATCCTTACCACCTTCTACAGAGGCGAGTGTCTAGAAAGTGTCCTGACTGGCTGTATCACTGCGTGGTATGGTAGCAGGAAAGAAGTGGAACACAAGACCCTGCAAAGTGTAGTTAGAACAACTGAGAAGATATAGAGGTTTCTCTTCCCTCCATCGAGGACATCTTTCAGAGGCCCCTGTGCACACAGAACCTCTTCCATTGCAAAGGACCCCTCCCATCCCTCACATAGACTGTTTGCAAGGTTTGAATGAGGTTGCTATCTGGGTGATGCCTAGAAATCCCTGACATGTTCACTTTAGATAAAACACTTAATGTTTTCAAAGTATGTGCATTGATCTGGTTTAGAATTTGGATAGTCAACTAGTAGAAAATCATTATGATGGAGCATATTAACCAGTTTGCAGTTATTTAGAAGAATCCAGCAAAGCACCTCTGCAAGGTTTCAAATATTGCTACGACAACCAAAGACGAACCCAACTGAGAAATATTTTTGTCTCCATTTAATACCAAATAGATGCCACTGTGAAGGCATACCTTTAAATGTGTCTGGGATATCTGCCTTAGCTCACCATGCACCCCTACCTGTGTTCTTAATAAATTCAATGGCATTGTCAACAGAGACATAAAACAAGAGGAAGGATGCCAAAGGGAGGAGACTTTTGCATTATTCTGTTTTGGGCTTCATTATTGTGAGGAGCAGATAAATCAATGATCAGATCATTTTTCTCAGAATATCGCTATAGAGTAGCTATACCTATAAGAGTAATGTGGGTAAAATACACTTTGTGGGAATTAAATGTGAGACCAACTTGAGAAAAGTAAAGAATATGAAGCAATTATAACAAAGACATCAAACCTCATCTCAGGAGAGATGGATAATGCATTTTACATTCTTACCGTTGATCAGCAGAGTAGAGTCCATCTTTGAACTCTAGAGGTTTGCCCATAGACCAGTCACTCTTGATGGACACACAGCTGGGTTCAGGACCAAAACCAGGTCCAGGTTCAGGTCCAGCAGAGTCTGGTGTGTGCTGCTGCTCTGGACTTCAACACAACACACA